AATTAGATACATAAATGAGTGATAGAACATCTGTTTTAACTTATTTGCTATCAGAGTTGTATTTTGATGCTGGTGGTGGTTTTCACTCACCTTGTAATGGGGGTATTCAGTAATCTCGCCAACATTCTACCTCCAGGTGAATCCTTATTGGGATTCACAAATATTTAAAGCGGCTAGCTTTGCGGCTGGTCTTCGCAAATCTCCTGTGCTGGTTTGAACTATAGCGGATCGGACTTGGCCATCCTTTGCGGCGAACACTTCCTTAATTCTGCCTTTGAGCCATTTACTTCTCGGGAGATTTGGTTCGCAAACTATTACCAACTGTCCTGGCTGTAGTGGTTTGACTTGTTCCCTCCATTTTGGGCGACATATTAGGGATGGCAAATACTCACTGGTCCACCTTTTCCACAAACGATCTTTCAAGGCTTGCGAAATTCTCCATTGCTCTCTGGTGCACAACTTTTCTTCTTCGAGACTTGGAGTTTGCGTTGAATTCAGGCAACCCAACAAAAAGTGGTTCGGCGTTAGCGGCTCTTGGTCGTGATGTGAGATTGGAATATCTGTAAGCGGACGGCTGTTTAAGATGTTTTCAGCTTCAATTAAAGTACTTCTGAATGTTTCCAGACGAGGTGCTTCTTCCTTTAGCACTCGCTCCAAAAGTCGTTTTACACACTGAACCAATCTTTCCGAGCATCCTCCAGCAGCCGGGTTCGCAGGGCAATTAAAGATCCACTCTATACCGCGTTCGGCACAGTCTTGTTCAATACGGTTAAAGTCAAATAGTCTCTCTTCGACGCGTAATAGTTTTTGGGCGCCAACGAAATTAGTTCCGTTATCGCTTCGCATTCGTACGGGTGTGCCACGATGGTTGATGAAGTTTCTGATGCAGATTATGAACGCATCGGTCGATAAATCCTCAGCTAACTCCAGGTGTATGGCTCTGACGGTTAAACACGTGAATAACGCAACCCAGCGTTTCTCTCTACGACGTCCAATAGTAACGAAAAATGGACCACAGTAATCGACTCCTGTGTATCTGAATGGACGAACGTAAGGCGTGAGGCGATCGACAGGCAATTGACCCATCATCGGCGCACTTGGCTTGGCTGTGATGATACATACGGAACAACGCTTTTTTACTGACGTAAGCACTGCTCGGATGTGTGGTACCCAGAACTTTTGACGAATTTGATTTATTGTGAGACAATCATTCTGATGATGAAGCTTTTTGTGCCAATATGAAACTAAGAGACTGGTTACGTGGTTGCGTTGATGCATTATGATTGGACGACGTGCCGATAGAGGGAGGCAATATGCTGCATCGATGCGGCCATTCACTTTAATCAAACCACCGATGTCTAAAAACGGCGTAAGTTGGTATAACGGGCTCGACTTCGACACTTTTTGCTTGGAGCGCAACTCTTCTAATTCGTTAGAAAAGACCTCTTCCTGAACGCGGCGACATACGAAGACTTCTGAGTCAGTGATCTCAAATGCTTTTAGCTCTCCTGAACGGCGAATACGGTTTCTTGCGTTAAAGTTGAATCGTAACACCCAGCTCGTTACCCTAAGTAACTTCAAAAAAGACGAAAATTTTGTAAAATTAATGACATACTCATCTGTTGTTGAGGTGAGAAGCAAGATTTTCTTCTCCTCGGCAGCACATTCTGTTGACGTAAGTGGCGTAACTTCTTTTGGCCACTCGGATTCTGGGAGTTGCAGAAAGGTAGGCCCCTTGAACCAGCGGTTTCGTGCACCGGATTCTGTCATGGGCTGACCTCGTGTGTCGACTGTAATGGGTTTGTGTTAGAAATGATTTCGGCGATTCTACCAGCAACGAATTGTTTGTATTCTCTAGTCGTCGAGCGGATCCAGAGCAATACTGTCTTTGAGTCACTCCACAATACGATGCGATGTATATTGAAGTCGTGGTATTCCACAACTGACTTCTGAAGACGGCTACCAAGAACTGCGGCTTGCAGTTCCAAGCGGGGAATTGTCATGCCCTTAAGAGGAGCACAACGCGATTTAGCGGCGACAAATGCGATATCAACGTCTTCCCCTTTGAATATGCGCAGATACGCGACGGCTGCATATGCACAAGAACTGGCATCCACGAACACATGTAACTGCACCTCGTCTGCTACTGGCAGCATTGTAGAATGGCATCTTGGGATGGAAAGTTTGGTTACATTTTGAAAACTTGTCCACCATGATGTCCACTGCACAATCGACTTGACGCTTCCACAAAGACTGCATCAGAATCTTCATACATACTGTGACATTAGCTAAAAACCCGAATGGATCGTATATAGCCATCACGATTCCTAAGAGTTCGCGCTTTGTTGGCGGCCTTATGCAATCAAGAACATCACGTGCGATCTTGTGAAACCTTGTGTGGAACTCGAAGCAGTCAGTGAGGGTATTCCAGTACATACCCAACACCTTGTCGACAATAGACTTTCGCTCCATGTCTACAACACTATCTGCGAAATTGTTCTCGCCATTCAGTTCGGCTTGAAGACCTTTGTCGTTTGACACAAATTTCCTTAGCGTAAAACCTGCAGCAGAGTTTATAGCAACTGCTTCCTTGGCGACTTCTTCGGCTTCTTGCGCACTTGCAAAACTGATAACTAAGTCATCAACATACATATTGTTAACGATAGCTGACGATCCACCTGGCATGTTGGATTCAAATTTCAAGGCATTAATATTTTTTATATACTCTGCGCAGCACGGTGAGCATATGGCACCAAAAATCAGCGAGACATAACGTAGGTCCGAATCGTCTTCGAGGGATCCCCATCGCGCCATAAGAACCGTTGCGAATTCTGGTCATCAGGTTTGATGGCTACCTGGGAAAACATCTCTTGCACATCTGCAGCAAGGGCTATAACTCCTTGGCGAAATTTGAAAATTATTGTAAGCAAGGATTGTGCATGCTCCGGTCCCTTGAGCAAGGCTGAGTTGAGCGAAACATTCGACGTGGCAGCGGCGGCGTCAAACACAACACGAAGTCTACCTGGTTTGTGGGGGTTGACAACCCCAAAATGTGGTAGGTACCAGGTCGAAGGAGTAGTTAGCAAAACTTCATCTGGATTCAGCAGCCTAGCGTAGCGCTTATCGACATATTTTTGAATTTCACGTTTGTAGCTATCGGCGTAATTGGCATATTTTGCCATCCGAGCTTCAAGCTTCCTCAAGCGATGGAGCGCCATATCGTAACTAGGAGGGAGCACGAGGTCATCCTTCCTCCATAAAAGACCAACCTCGTATCTGTGTCCCAGAAACTTCGTTGATTTCTCCAAGATCTCTCTTGCACGACGGTTTTCGTCCGATTCTAAAAATACATCGGTACTTCGAACGCCAAAACTCTCTACTGAAAAATACTCGTTGACCAACTTGTGCAAAGCTTGCAGAGACTGCGATTGTGATTCGCGGATGTACATGACGCGTGGTTGTCGGACTGAACTCTGAGACAGTGGGCCATAGGCTACCCACCCTAAACGATCAACTACCGTTTGAGCAACCCCCAGGTAGCTGTTGTCTATACCCAGCAAAATTACTGGCTTGGCGTTCATGTAACTTACTATTGGCAACGGTAGGAAATGATCAAAATTATTCTTATCAAACGTTTGTTGTGGCAAATTTAATGACCTTACGGTGTGAACGTTTTTAAGGTTGAATTCAGCGGAGTCACCTTTAATATTGACAGAAACCTTACGAGCACTTTCTTTATTTTTACTTTCCCCGTACCATTGTAATGTTAATGGAACATTTGGACCGCGCAGACCTAACTTGACAGCTAAATTTTCCTCAAGAAGTGTTATGGACGACCCTTCATCGAACATGGCGTAGGCAGATATACTTCCATTAGGTCCTGACAACGTAATTGGCAAAATCTTAAAAAGACTTGTCTGATCTTCAAACAAGCAATTCAGCACGCGTTCTACATTTACCGCGCCTGGCTGGAGTGTACCCTGATGCAGCGATGTGTGGTGCATACGCTTGCACCCGTTGACAGAACATACGTTACTTTGGCGGCAATTCGAAAGGCTATGCCCTTTACGTAAACACCCAAAACACCAATGGTTGCTTTTAGCGAAACTCCATCTTGACTGAATATCGCGTGACAAGAATTTAGTACAATCCACTAGTTTATGTGATTGTCCACACTCTAAACAAACCACCTTTTTCTCCGGCTGTACATCATTATTATAAAGAATGCGACGAGTAGAACCGCTGCTTTGACGAGTAGCATTGCGGGGCCGCGCAGCTGGCGTTGGCTGCGAGACGCTCGCTTGGATGTGACGTAACGACATGTCCGAAACACCCGGCAGTAACGACACAAATCTGGCTATTTCGCTTAACCAGTCACCAAAATCTTCGGTGACAGGTAATAAGATCAACGGAAATAAGGTCAATTGACTTTATTTCCCACCCGCGTACCCCGCGCGACCGGCGCGCACACCACGTCACGCTACGCCGCGGCCCCCCGGCCCCCCCTTCCCCGTCTCCCACCGTGCTGTAACGCAGGTGGATTTACTTTTTGTATACGTTGAAATAAAATTTTTATATATTTTAAACATCGAGGGCTTATATTCAATAAAATACCCTCTATCTGCACATTTTTCACAAAGATGAGATTCTAATATAAAAATCCACCCAACCTTTAACTGTTATCAGTTATATTAATTTTACCTTATATAACGACAGGTAATAAGTCCCACATGGTTTCTAAAATCACAAATTAGTTTTTGTGCAAATTGCAGATAGAGGGTATTAATGAATTGAAGCCCTCGATATTTCACCTTTTTATATTTGTAAGTTATTGGAAGCAGGGATGCCAACTTGGCTCAAACCGTGCCATTTGTCCCTATTTTACTTCAAATGGCACTTAATTTTTCAATTTGGCATAATTTATTATTTCTCTCTTTGGCACATTTTGGCACTTTTTTATCCTCAATATGGCACCTCATAACTAAGGATAGTTGGCAGCCCTGATTGGAAGATTTCTGCTATGTTTCGGGGCAACAACTTGTCTGCAGTAAAAAAGCATATAATTTGTGTTTAAAAGTGTGTGAAAACCAATTAATTAACTTATATGATCTCGGTTCCACAAATTGCTGGCGGAGACATGAATACAGTGTAAGAAAATTCTTTTTCCATAATTGTTTCCTTATAGAAAGGTTGGTTTCTTTTCCACCCTAGACATTCCGAATTCGTTCAAAATATGCTAATTTAAAACACAGAATTCTTTCAGTCTTCCTCCGGGGTTTTTGGACATGGACTGTTTCATCAATTTAATAGTGTTCGCTTTATTTTTGTGGAAACGAAAAATGTTTTGCAAGTTATGGATCATTTCTACACTCTTTCTTCAAATATTTCTCGTATTCCAGCTGGAAGTTTTTCGCATCGTGTTTTTACATATTCGTAATCTAATTTTTTTTAATAAAATCAATTGGTGGTAGTTCATGATTGTGTGTGGATTAATATCACAACACTGAGTATTTGGCAATAACCTTTTTCATCTATTAAAAAAAACACTTACGGGGCAATGTTTATTGTAAGAACAACATTTTTTTCTATGAATCGACATACTTTAAGCATTGTTGACGCTATTTCCATTTGAATGAGGAAATAGCATCATGACGTTATTTCCAAATTTTTGTTGACTTTATTTCGCTTTTGAAAAGGTAATAATATCAATTGACCTTATTACCTGTCACCAAATCTTCCACTGTTGGAAACGGCAATATATTGGCGGCTAAGGGTGGGTAACTCTGTAAATTTTGGTGTGCTGACTCAGTAACTCCACCTCACTTTAATGAGTCAGCACAGTGAGCTGGCACAAGTGTGCTATCGCACAATTGGTATGTACATCGAAATTATTGATGATGTTAGTAATCGAAATCGATGTAGAAAAGGTTATCCTTAGCTTCTCTTCGTAGCTGGCCGGCAAAATTTTAGAAAGCTGATTTCAACTGGTGAGTCCATTTGCAAAATAATTCTACAATAACTATTTTTTT